CCTAAGGCCCATTTACATGTACGAATATGATGTTGAAATCCCACATTGCAGTGCGTCCATGATGATTCCCCAAAAAGTCTGCGCCCTGGGCAGGTGATGATAGCTCTGGCTCGGATCTTAAAATCTGCAATTTTAAGAAAAAGGTTATATAGCTATAGGTGAACCAGCCTGTCATTCGCATGGATGATCTCTAGTGGGTCCTAGGTTTTGTTGGCATCATGGGTTGATGCCCCTTTGACCTCTTTCGATTTCGTGGAAATCTTTAGCGGCCGTGCCGAAGTTACAAGACGAATGCAGTGGGCCCAGTTCAAGTCCAACCTTAAACTGCATTCCTGGTGTACTTTTTCCCAAAAAATGTCATGGGGTTATAAGGTCAGAAAGCGGCTATCGCTGCGCAGCCTATGATCGCGACTACTCCAAATCAATGGATTTTCTGACGCCTGCAGGGTATTTGCCCCTTGTTTTGGATGATGGTATTATGACAATTCATTGGAAACATAACAATACCATATGGCCCCTTATATATATCTTAAACACCAATGACCAAGGTTCTGCCTTTTTCATATTTGACATCCCCAAGGGTTATAATGATTACCAACCAACCTTAATAGCCCTTATATCTCAAGCATATCTCAAGCGAATTCTGCCTTTTCATTTTTGGTCCCTAAGATCACCTACCCTGCTGCCTCCAATCCAAGGGTGGCGTTGATGACCGTGATGCAGATGCCAGTCAATGCCTTGGAATTGCTGGCGCCCGACTGCTCAAGTTGGGGTGTCCCCGCAAGGGGCACATCTCTTCGCTCAGCTATCAACATCTTTGGGAATGTGTTTCTGGATTGGGTGAGTCGATCTGGTTGCATGGTATCACGGAAACCTGCATGCATTTCATCATAGAATGTGGCATTCAATTCTTGCTCATGATTTATCGTTATCTTTTGATTATTGATTATTGGGTACCTCAGGACGGTGCTTCTCATCCTTGTGATCCTATCCAGAAATGCAATTTGGGTCTTGGAGCAACCACATGGGTCACTGTTGCGAAAGAATCGCAGGTTCGATTGGCTGGTGAACCATGTTTGCTATGTTTCTGGCCTTCCAACCAAATTGGGTACCGTTTCGAGCATCCCTGAATGATCTACAGTTAGGAATCTTTTGCATGAATGTTTTGGCTTTTCCATGCAAAACCACAAACCGAGGCTTTCCAGACTGAATTTTGGATGTGCTTGCATGGAAGTCCAACATCAAAGAGAACTATTGTTTACAGCTGCATGCAAGAGATCCAAATGCTAGACTTGGGGCCCCTAACGAAAGCAGAGAAGGAACGCCGCACCAAAAAAAAGTTGACTCGACACTTTCCTGCGCTGGCAATGGTTGGTTGGATTACCAGTTTATATATAGGGTCGTTTTCGGATGATTAATGGGTGATGTGGGGCTGTCCCAAAATGGGGGGTGAATCAAAAATTTTAAGCCCTGAAACAATCATATTCGTTCACCCTTAAACTTTGAAATATGCCCATATAATATATCATACCAACATATACCAACCAACCATTGCATGTGCAAAATAAACCGGTACCTTCTTTCAGGTAGCTATGTTGACAAAGCTGGACGCAAGCGTTTTGTCGGCACTGCTGATTTAAAAGGCAGTCAGTTTCTTTGGCAGAAATTGGGTTGAACATGGTTTAAAGGTACCCCTTAAATATTTTTGATTACTGGGATTTTTGCATAATATGTATGGAAGGATTCTGGAACAGGTTGGGGGATCATTTTCTGTTCGAATATGAGATTTGCATGCTTTGGGTTAACTATTGCTCGAGGATGACACCTGGTAGAGAATGCCTCAAGACACCCCATACACCATTCTGAGATTTCCCTTACCAGTGGAAAGCATGGTGTGTATATACATGCATAATCATATTCGGTCTTGAAATGTCACCAGTGATATACTGCAATAAGTAGCAGCCATCGCATTCCAGTGCCAAATTTAAGGCTCCTGTCCACCCATCCATCCATGGCCCTCGCCCAGGAATTATCCTGCTGGCTTCGGAGATGCTTTGCGCGATGCTTGGGAAACCCACATGGCTTCTGCACCTGGTCGCCGGGAGCTTCGTTTCAAGCCCCAATGCATGAAACCCTTATCCCTCCGGGCCCAATTTGAGAACATGCCGATGGGGGATTGCTGGGAAGAAGCTCGCCTTTGGGAGCCCATTGAGTACCTATTCAAAAGCAAGAAACTAAGGTCGGGACATTTTATCAGCCTAAAGTCAATAGATCGACATTGCAATTTTCGTGTTGGTTGCAATTCCCACAAAAGCAAAAAACACGTAATGGGTACGAGTGCTTTCTTTGGGAGGGAAAGTCAACAAAAAAAATGCTATGGACCACCATGCTCATTGTAGTGGCACCGCATGATGGGCCCAAACTTGCTGATTCTATTGCCTTTTTAAAACATATTAAATTAATATATAGAAATACCACCCATACACACACAACGAATAGATAAATCGAGGCATCCCCTGTTATATCCCGTAACTGTTTCCTAATAGTCCCTCCACAAGTAGGCATGCTTGCAATTTCCCTGAAGGATCCCCGAAGAGTGGGAATTGCCAATGAAGACTTTCTGGGCGGAATACAAAGACAAGGCCCAGATGCTAGCTTCAAAAGTAAGAGCCCTTCATCGGAATTGGTTTTACACAGGGTATTGAAACAAGATGACCAGATGCCAAACAGGCTTGTATTAGTCTAACTCCCTTTCTTTGTGGCGCAGGTCCTGTGCACGGAGACAGTACGCACAGAGATCACTGACATTCTGAAGTTTGCCCAGGAAAACCAAAACTGATTTGGGATGTGCTGACACATACTTGCCAACAGTGGCCCCGGGGTATGATGTGCGAGCGAATTCAAGATTATAGAAGAGCCAGTTCTGAAACGTACTGATTTCCAAATTCAGGGCCAAACTGTTGGAAAATTCAAAATTCTTTGCCAAATTCAGGGCGCAACATCGGGCGCAAAAAAGCGCAATCGGGCGCAAAAAAGCGCAATCGGGCGCAAACTAAATAAATGCCCCTTTTGGTCATTGTGAAAGCGCTAACATCGAGCATTTTTCAAAGAACATTGAAAAAACATTGGCCACCCAAGTCATTTGACAATTGGCATCCATGGAAAGTATGGCAACTGTTCGTTTGCAGGGTTTTTGGCTTCCAGTTTGCCAGCGCACCCCGGTGACATGACTGATACAAGGACTTCCTCTAGCAACACGTTGCTTGAAGGGATGGACCAGGTCAGACGTCCGGCTGCTGAGCTTCCTACTTCTCGTAAGCGCGAACTTGAGGACAAGATTCGTGTCACCTGCCAGCATCTTTGCATGTGCAACATGGGGTATTTTAAGGGATCCATGTGCGCACCAATAGGCACAAGTTTAGAAACACGATAAGTGCTCCTAAAGTGAGAGGTTGAGAGATGTGCCAAGTTATGTAGCGACATATGTTTTGGAGTTGCCCTTTGTCAACCGCTTGGTGGACTTCCAAAACCTGCTTCCAGGAATTTTGGAAGCCCTTTGTCAAGCGTTTGGACTTCCAAAACCTGCTTCCGTTTTGGGAACGTTTCCAGAACAATAGAAAAAGTAACAAACTAGCTGGAATCCAAAACTTCTGCCTATTAAATTCACATGCATGATGCTGGTTTAATCTAAGGCGAGCCAAGCTCGGATTGAGGCTTTGCGCCGAAGGATTTCCAACCAGGCAAATTCCTGGGTGCCTGATGATGAGGTCCCTGGGGCCCCTTGTGTTGCCCAATTCTCCGGGGCTTACAGTGCTGGGAACCCTGGGGATGGCCCTGCTTCACCTGGGAGTGTGGCCCCAACACAGACTTACCCCGTACCACCACAAGTAGAGTTCATGACTCCTCCTCAATCTGCCCCAGCCCCAAGCCCAGCTATGACTGTGACACCTGAGCCGGCTGTTCCAGCCCCGACCCCAGCCACAGAGACGAGCGTACCTGGCCATGCTGATCGTCCTCCTTCTGTCGAAGTGCCTGGCGCGAGCAGCGAACAGGCCCCACTTGTGACCTTGACTCAGGTCCCTGCACCAGAGGATGTTGGTACTGGGGATTCTGTCTCACAAGCTGAACTTCCAGATGAACCGGATCAAGTGGCAGGCAATCCTTATTGGAAGTTTCTAAGCATATATTTATCTATGCTAACATGATGAACTGCAATAGAAGAAAGCCAATGGGGGGCTGTTGATATGAAAGTGGACCCAAGGTTGCGGCGATACTTTCGTCCAAAGGCTGATGGTTCTCTCAAGTGCTCGCCGCAAGCTCTTCAGATGTGGAAGGATCCAGATCAAAGCATTTTGGCTATTACTTACTGACAAAAAATATCTTCGTACGTAAATTTACAAAAATTCCCTGAATGAGGACTCCAAACCTTTTCCTGATTCCCCATAGCAATTTTCCCGTCGGCTAGCCACCACTAAAAAAAACATCCATAAAGAAACAGTGCCAAAAAGGAACCCCCCCCCCCTCTGGGGGGGGTTCCTTTTTGGGTGTTTTTGGCTTTTTGGGCAAGCCAATAGGAAAACTACAAATTCCCCATGTTTAAAAAAGGATGGTCAGGCACTCCATGCATTTGGAATCCCCATGATGAATCCCGGTTCACAGGCAAATTCCTTGGTTGACTTGTTTAGAAAGGACCCCATGTCGATTTAATCATGGTGTAGTTAAGATGGCACTAGCGGGGAAAGCCAGGGTTGATATGCAATATTATAATTTCAGGCATGGCAAGATGTATACGCCCACGCATGCTACTTGGGACCACAGTTGGGGCTTCAAACGGTTTTATTAAATTATGGTTACACACCCCCACTAGTTGAGACATAGCCCCCATAACCCATGTTTAATATAGATATAGAGAGAGATATATATATATTATGTCCATCTATAACCGTAACTTGTCCCAATACATCCAGCAGCAAGCCTGCTCAGGAAAGGAGCTGAAGAAGATGTTCCTGGAGCATGGTTCGTTTGAAAGTCTTGAGATTCGCATCAAGAAGAAGCACATCGAGAGCCAGTCTCGTGCGAAGTCTGGTGGGTGGTATACAAAGGGGCAGCTAGAGGGGCAACACCAGTGGACTAAGACCCAGCCTCAGTTTTGTAAAATGTTGTGGAAACTCCCATATAGGCTGATGCATTTTTACCAAACCCCTATACTTGGGACTAAGGAAAATGGTGGAACGTGCCTTTCAATGGGCAGAGCAAAATAAGAAGACCAGGGTGAATGCTGTTCATGGGGAGCCTGAAGCGTTCCTATTGATTTCGGACACAGTTGCCTTCACCAGTACGGACATAGAAGAAAATGAGCAATCTGGCGCCATCGAATGTGAGGATCTGGGTTTTAATTTTCTTGGCTGGTACCCTCCTATTGCCATTCATTTTTTAAGACCCAGTGATATTATTTTTCGGGGTACATGAGCTTGGGATCCTTCCCGAAACTCGTTTACAAAAAGATTGGATTCCACAATGGGTTTGCCCAAATTACATCTCGCAGGATCCACAGGGCACCCTCTTGGACACCAACATGACCAACATCAACGCTGGTGACGATGCCTTGTTGAGCAGTGCCCCCGGTGCATCTTCGTCCTCCGGGAATGGGGTTCCAGGCCCATCCAATGTGGGCACGATGGCCACAGCTGGGGTGATGAGTTTCAAGAATTTTGGTTTGTTCAATGGTCTCATTTTGGCTTATGTCGTTGGTAATGGTCTTTCAAATTTTAATATAGACTGATGACTGGTTCTCATTCATTATCCATCCAATGGGTGCACGGTTGCTGATCTAAATATATCGATATCTATAGCGCAATGGTCTTTAAATCGGTCATGACAACCTAGTGGAATAGAAGCCTGGGTGTCGGGGGATCTAGCTAGCCCAGGATGACGTTTCCTACGCTGGTGGCCAACACGTCGCCTTTGATGATTCTCCCACAATTCGTGGAAGTTCTGGGCAAGAAGATTGATAAGATTAACACTGAGCTGGACAGAATGGGTTTATACACAAAATAATGGAAATTGTCCCTTCAGCCTAGTGGTTGTAAGATGGTTCACCCGCTGGCAGGACCGTCTGCGGCAAGTGCAAACCAAACCTGCACAGGGGTTCCTGGTTGCAACAAACAACCGTTGAAACACATGCTAGTTCTTTTATTGGCTTGCATCGTTCTAGTAAATCAGAAAATCGATTGATATTATGCCGCTTGTCGCCCAAGGTTGGTGAAAGCTATGACTGAGCAGTTGGAGAAGATGCAGAACAAATACGATGCTTTGGCAAACCAAATGTCTGAAGCAACAGTTCACCCAGAAGCCATGGACCAGCCTTTTGTCTACATATACGGGTGGTTGATGTGCACTTTTATCCATTATGAAAACTCATTCGCGATATCTGATGTATTTGTAATTTTGCATCATGTTCTATCCACTGGTTCTCTTTTCCAGGTCATTTCGCAATGCGGTCCAGCAGAACTTTGTGAATTGCACGAAGCTGGATGTTGGCATGAACAGTTTGGTCCAGCGTTCAAAGATTCTTGATTAAAATGTAGCACAATTAGGTAAACCCATGATCGTGTCATTAAACCAAAAAAACAACTATAGGTATCAAGACTCTTGGATCTTGATGACCCTTACCCCCCCTGCCATCCAAGGGGTATGCGGCCGTCCTCAGCTTCGTCATCTGCGCCGCCTCGACCTAAAGCAGCTGTGAAGGCTAAGGCGAAAGCCAAGGCCAAGGTTAAGAGTTCGTCTTGCAGACCCAAAAGGGAGGCCGATGCCTAGACATCTACATATATGTGACTTTTGATGGAGTGCAGTTGTGTGCCAATCTTCACACATGCACCTTTGACCTGTGGGGTTCGCGTGATCAATCATGATCTCTAGCGTGAATGCTTTGCCTTTTTAGCTTATTCAATTGTTTTCGCATACAGCCTGAAACAACTGTTTGGTGGAAGAAAGGCATCGCATTCGTCCATTTGAAAATTCCAGTGCAGCTTTCGCTATTGCCACACGGCAACACCTACCCTCGGACCATTGGGGACCAGCTTAGTGATGTTCGATGCAAAATGCAAGGGGCAAACAAAAGAGAGTAATTTGCCTGCTTCAATTTTGAAACATCCTCGGTTGTTACACCACTAAACCCCAGCTAGCGGACGTGTTGCCAGGTCATCGCGAAACTGAGCTTGACCGTGGATTCTTGGTTGCATTAGCTTACCCCACTGCTATAATATATACTGCTATCCCTTGTTTCATTTCTAACAAGAGAAGCCTGTCTAAATATAAAAGGCCTCAGCTTTACCTGCATGTATTTTATGCCAATTCTTAGTTTCAGGGATGCCCATTCTTAGTTTGGGGGATTGAATGCAAACCCTCAGGAAACGTTTCTGGTGAAGATTCACCTGCTGAAGACCTATGCACGGATTTTGTGGACAGCTTTGCCACTGGTGCACCTTGGCCAAACAATTTATAGCCATGGGATGTTACTTATAACTCTGCCTGGGTCATAGTCCTTGTTGCCATGAGGCCAGCGCCAAAGATGTCATGGTCACAGTTGAGAAAACCCAAAAGGTTCTAGAGAAGCACGGACCCTCTATTGCATATAGTCAGTCAAATTTGTTCCAATTAACCATGTCTGGATATCACAGAATAGCCTTCACTAGCCTAGGAGTCTTTGACCCAAAGGTTGAAGAGCTAGCTTCCCGTGCCCGTCGTGATGTAAAACGAGGGAATGTGAGTCGCAATTTGCATTTCTACATCCACAAGAAGAACATGACCCTTCCAGTTGCTACCAGCTCCATGGTGATCCCCATCAAGGCTAGGGTTTCCAGGCGATTCGCAGTTGCCCGCAAGCCTTGGCCAGTGTTCCATTTATCCAGTTGGATAAAAACTGCCATGGAAACGAAGCCCTTTGAAGGTTTCTTTTTACTGGCCGGTATGAAATTGGACAAGCTGGCCCAAGCTGAGGATGCCTTAGAGCTATTCTGGTCACGATACAAAGCTGTGGACCCCAATACCCCTGACTATCCACGGAGGACTTTACCCTTTTACATTCACGGCGATGAAGGTCGCTCCCAAGTGAAAAGGCCAGTTCTTATCATTAGCTTTCAGGGGCTGATGAGTTGGGCTGGAAGTGACAAGGTGAATTCTTACAAGACACTTTTAGCAAACAATTCCAACAAACTTTGCATTTTGTTTTCTACCATTTTGGGTTGCCAACTGCATAGGATGGTCTGCCTTGGGTAAGCTCCATGAATCTAAGGAACACGCTGACAACCAGAATGCTTTACACCCTCCTACCATCAGAGAACTACGCCCCGAACGGGGCGAGCACCCAAGCTTTGATGGCAGAGTTGGTCAAAGATTGCAACAAGCTTTACACTGAAGGTATCGATGTTGCCTATTTGCATTAGCATTTAAAATGCATTCAATATATATATATATACTAGTGCATTGTCCCCATCACCAAAAACCGTTCAATCAATGATTCCCCCTGAGGTTTCCTGGAATGGTCAAAAGGTGAAGTTCTATGCCCGTTTCTGCGGGGTAAAGGGCGGCTGGCCTTGGCTGCGAACTTGTTATAAATTATCAACTGGCTTTACCAGCAAAAGGATCTGCCATGAATGTCCTTCGAATGACCCTCAGCTTTTACTGGGCCTAGTGGAAAATATGCATGTTTTCTTTTCTTAAAATGGGATGTCAACCCACAAAGGATAAATTTACTTCCCATATCAGTTTGTAACCCCGAGGATTGGACTGACTTGTCACGGTCAGGGTCTACAAGGAGTTGGCCACGAAATGGCGTGGCACCATCTCCCTTCAAACCGGGCAGACGTGCTGCCATTAGGAACATGCTTCCTAGTGGTGGACATCGAACCATCCGTATAGACATAGCCCACACGTACGCCATAGCCGGCTGGGGCAAGGACCAGCTGGCGTCGCTGCTGGTTCTCTGTGCGGTTCGTGCCAACCTTTGGGGCCGGGCCGGGTACGAGGAGCAGCTCAGGAGAGCCTTTGAATCTTTTCAGGAGTGGTGCCGGGTGCATTCCAAAACCTCTACAGTTCTGGATTTCAGCAAGAAGGAGTTGAAGATTTCTTCGCTACCTGGTTTAATCTTATCCCACAATATATCGAATACACCTTGTAAAACTGCAGAGTGAATAGGGATCCAGTACGAGGTTCTAGTTATATTTCATGGGTTCTAGGGTGGTGATATTAGGGGGAATGAATCTAGACATGTAACTATATCGGGGATGGACCTGACTGTGGTCGGTTTGATTTTTATATGTTCTTCCAAAACAGCAAAACCCTAGTTATCACTTCTTGCCTTTGCTGAGGCTTCAATCTTTTCCTCGAGGCTTGGGGAAAGGTTCTGATGCTGCGCTGGTTGGAGGATGGCTGGAAAGTGTTTTGACCCCGGTGGATCCTCAAACAGTCCCGGCTGCTTGCTGGCGATGTGATTTGCGGGCTTTTGCTAATGCAAAAAAAGGGTTGGGACATGTGCGTTGACTAAGATCATATTACCAAAGTAGGCCGGCAAACATACCGTAATTGAACATTTGATATGATTCTGCTCGTTTCTGAAGTCTGCTCGTTTCCCATGTAGTGTAAACCCAGTGCACAATGCACGCGCTCTGAGGAAGAATGCCGCGACATGATCATTGTGGCGAAGTGGGGCATTGCTGCGACAGGGCGCTTCTTCAGAATCATCTATTCAGGTGAGTTGTGGCTCACCCGGGCCCAAGCACAAGCTGCAGTCTGTTCAGGGTTCAATATGATTGAGTCTTGCATGCAAGCATGGTGTAAAAAATGTGCTATAAGTTTGTTTGATTTTGTTTCTACACTTTTACAATGGGAAGCTTTCCGCTTGATCATTGACATTTGCCTAGGAGTCCTATGGGGCCCTGGCGCGGCTTGCTCGATTGCAGAAGTGGCGACTTTTTTACATGAGACCAAAGGTTCATATGAACCAGCACGTGCTGTTTCTTGGTAGCGGGCTGTGCTTTCTTGGCTGTGTCATGCCGCTAGCTACTACGGCCAACCCCAAGGCTAGAGATGGAGCACCAGTTGGCGGAGGGTGCCGAGTTCATACTCAATCCGGCCAGTTTGGGGCTTGGGGAACCCATGGTTGATATGGATAAAATGTTTAGCCACATACGTCTTTAGTTTAAAACAAATATGAAGGCTGTAGCTTATATCATGCCCACTGAGGCTGTGCAACATGGAGTGACGAAGACTATATTGGACGGGTTGCACGTGCAAGTCGGCGGCACGTCCATTGTTTAAATCTGGTTTACACCACATGACCAAAATTTTGATTCAATACAGGAAAGAATGGAACCAAGTTTGTTCCCAGGACCGGGACTGAGGGTCCCGGCATCCTGGCAAATCTCACGAGAGCACCGCGACGATGTCAAAGTAAAAGATGTAGTGTGCGTGTGTGTGTGTGTGTGTGAGCATGAGGGCATGTGGCAAGGGGTTATCAGGGGGATGATGTGGGAAGATCATTGGTTTCCAACCACTTAGAACTAGATCGAGCATTTTTCAGAAACTTCGAGCACTGGAATTTTACTTCGCTATGGAAATTTGGGAAACGAGCAGACTTTGAAACGAGCAGAAAATAATGTATCAAATGAAGTTCTAGGTATAATTATATAGACTATATATATATAATAGATCTATAGTCATTTGTATACGGTATACGGATGTATACGGTGATATGTACAGTATTTTTCAGTTAGAATTACATATTCCCTATGGATCCAGTGTCACTGTCTAAGAAGGTACAAGACACCCCCTAAATCATAGCCCAAGGCCCAAGTACTTCCTGAGAAGGTACGGCTGGATACATAGGGATTGTTTATACACGCGTTTGTGTTGTGTCTAGCTGATCCGTTCTCAGGATTCGGCTGAAGAATCTCTCGCTTCGTTACCGCACCATCCATCTGCTGCAACGTAGTGATGACCTGAAGGAGCAGCAGCCGTGGATGGCGGTGATCCATGGCCCAGTTCAAAAAGCTTTG